TTTTATTAAATTACAATATAATATTTTATATTTTGCAAGATAGTAGATTTTATATATTTTGTATAAAATAATTACTTGTTGCTAAATAAGAAGAAACCTACCTAAATCTTGCATAATATTGAGAATTGTCAGAAATTTGAGTTTAATGTTCTTAGGTTGTTTGTGATAAATTTCTCACAACTTTATTTTTTCAATAGCAATTATAATTTTATTTAGTGGGGTGTCAAAAAAATGATCCAACCCATCAAATCGACTCGAAAATCTGGATTTTGGGATGACCCATTTAATAAGTGGGTTGGGTTCAGGTTCGGAATTCCGTCCAGTTTATTAAATGGGTTAGTTTTTTATTGACTCGCCAACTTGATTTTGCCTTCAAATGATCCGTTCAATTTTTTTTTCCTTAATTTTTTTTTATGTTTATTGGTATGATTCTTTATTTTTTATTTTTTTATCTTTTATTAATTAACTAACATATATTGTTAAAAAGTAAAAAAACAAAAATCTTAAAATCAAAATTGGGTTCTACTGTATTTTTGACCCATTTATTAAATGGGTTGGTTTCGAGTTGTTCAGATTTAGGTATGATCATTTTTGAGTCAGACCTGAACCCAAATTGTTGACCCGTTTTGACACCCCTACCATTTAGAACAACTTTCTAGCTGCTTTGTTTTTCATATATATATCAACCATAATTCGTTTGCTTTTTTTTTTCTCATTATTTTTCAAAAAATTTCACGCATAAAAGTTACACTATGCAATCATAACAGCCAAGTTGCTTTATCCACAACAACTTCATAATCAATTTTATAAAATGCTTCAACCATCCCAAATAAACCCTTTGCTCCTATTTTTTATTATTATTGCATGCTTTTTAAAAATTTATGTAGTGAAATTTTAATTTTTCACAATTGGAATTGTTAATGCATTATAGCCATTTTTTTAAAAAAAATAACACATTTATAATATCTATAGCAACTTTTAAAATTTATTTTTCTTACAACTTTAAGATCAACTTTATAAAATATTGTAGCCATTCAAAACAAATCTTTAATTACCCCCTAGAGCAATTCTGACCTAAAGGGCGAATTATTACGTCCGGTCACCGGACGTCCGGACATCCAATTCAGACGTGCCACATCACCCAGATACACCGGGACCCGGTGTATTTTGGTGATGTGGTGTGTCTGAATTATTGTTCGGACGAATCCGGACACCGAACGTAAAGATTTGCCGTCCTAAAAGCGTTGCTGCAATTATCTCCCTATGTAATTAATCAATCCCAATTACCATAATATAATTAAAATGTTATTGAGCTTAAGGAATCAGGTAAATGAGCAAGACTGCTGAGATGAATCTAATTGCAACATGCCATTAACATGATGATTAAAGAAGACCAGGATCTAACAATCTGGCACTTAGTAGAGGAGGTGGGGAGTACCAATGATCTCCGTACGAGGATTTTAATTAAAGAAATTATTGAATGAATAGTTTAATACTGTATTTTTGTGTGTCTTTATTGTGGGGAGTAAACTAGTCGAGTCCAGCCGAGTAGTGGTCTTATCGAGCATGGCTCATTGGTTAGAAAATTGCCTCGATCTCGAGCTCGAACTAGGCTTGTCCCACTGTAAACGAGCTCGAGCCGGCTCGCGAGTCTCGGCGGGAATTTTTAAATATTATAAATCATTTTAAATATTTAAACATTTAAAATTTTATAAAATATTTTAAACATTAAATTTTAATTTTTTTATATTATTAAATATTTTAAACATTAATTATTATAATTATTTAAATATTTAAATTTTGCCATAGGTAAAATAAAATTATTTTTAAAATGTTAATAATTATTAGAGCCGGCTCGCGAGCTCACGAGCCGAGCCTCATCAATTAATATAAAATAAAAATACATTTAATATTTTAAATAATAATTATTTTTGTGTATTATATAAGATAATAATACTAGACAATGATTGTAGCCGACAATAGCGAGCAATAATATATCGAGCTAAAATATAAATTTATAATAGTTAAAATATCATTGAAATGATTTTTTCTTAAAGTTTTAATACATCAAAGTTGTAATATGAAAATATCTATTATTTGGAATAGAAAAAAAAATTACTATTTTTAGTTTGCTTTAAACTAATTTAAGATCTCAATTAGAAGGGCGTTGAACTTATTCAGTGTATTAATCAAATGTTGTCGGAATACTATGATGAGCTGCTAATGAAACTAAATGTAAAAGTAATCTTGGCAATGAAAGATACCACTGATAATTTACTCACTGGGGTAGCATAGTGCTTGTTGCTTAGTCATAAAAGAGTTATTGACTCACCTCAAAGTTGGCTCTATGCAATTCTGTTAGAGTTAAATAAAGAATCACCTGTGCACCTGCTGCAATTTTATCGGTTTCCTATACTAACTCCATGTGCGAACCCGCCGAACCGAGCCCAATCCCGCATGCGTCCAACCTTTACTGTGCATTCTGATCCACGAGTTCATCTCGGGCTCCCGCGCATTCTAACCCACACATGCTAGCACCCGTCGTTGTTCCTCCCGTGATCTGCACGCGCCGTGCCTTGTGCATAGGGGTGTCAATATTTGACATGATAAGAAAACCCGACTCAAACCCGACCTAGAAATTTCGGGTTTGACCTGACCCGATTTTAAAACGGGTCAGCTTCGGGTTCCAGAAATCAATCCGTTTGAAAAACGGGTCGGGCTCGGGTTGACCCGATCAACTCGCGAAACCGTTTAAAATCAACTGCCCGCACTGCCCCGCATGCCCGTGAAGCACCAGCTGTCGCCCGCGCACACCGCGGGCCCCTGCTGCCTCCCACTTGCTCGCCCGCGCGCCAGTGCACGTCGTCCCCTTGCGCTCGCCCGCGCAACCGCTGGCCCATGTCTGCGCGCCCACTCGCACTCCCCTGCCCCGCTCTCGCTCGCCATGCACCCGCTCGCGCTCGCCAACGCGGCAACTCGCGCGCCCTTTTTGGGGTCAACTTGTGTCGGGTCGGGTCAACCCGGCAACCCGTCGGGTTGGGTCGGGTTCAGATATCCGACACGTTTACCTACTCGGGTAGGGTTAGGGTCGACCCGTTTGAACCCGGGTCATTTTCGGGTTCGACCCGAACCCGACACGTGGCCCGAATTTGACCCCCCTACTTGTGCATTGCTTGCTCTTACGTGCTTATGCTCATGCATTTGCTTATGTGCGGCACGCCCGCGTTGAAGCTCCGGCTCACCAGTCTTCCCCCGGCACCCGTGCGCGTTCCAACATGCCACTTTGCACGAGCCCCAATTCTTGATCTTGTTGCTTTTGATCTAATGCTCTGAGACCCAACAATCCCTTTGTCTCCCGGACTCCACCTGAAGTCTAGCCCACACACAAAATCGTGTGTCCAACTCCCATGCATGCGATCCAATTCTGCATGAACTCCAGTTGAACGGAACCCAAACAGTAGGTGACCCGACCTAATCTGAAACCAAACCAATACACAATAAAGGCTAATTGCTTATTAGTAGACGTGGCCTTCTTGAAGAGAGAAAATTGAAGGAAAAGGAAGCCATTAACTTGAGTGAATGCGGATAACTACTAAGTTTGTGCTAATCTATATGGCCTGGTAACCTTATAAATAAGTGTATCTTGGTGAGTTCGTCCTACTCCTATGGAGCTCATGTTCAGCTTAGTGAGTTCATGATTATTCTAGTGAGTTAGTCATTTTTATTATCCTAACTGAACCAAATTGTCTTGAACCTAGCCAACTTCTTGACTCCAATGAATCCTTATAATTAATATTTGGGATGTATAGGTTACTGTTGAGGAGATGAGGAGTAAACACCACAATGATGAAACGATCAAGAAAGTAAATGCAACGGAAAAGTAAATGACATCAGCAATTAATGTGAAAAATTCAAAATAGGAAGAAACCACAGAGCCATACGACACCAAGAAATTCACTATAAAAATTGGAAGAAATAAGTACATATATATCTTCTTTATAAGTTTCGCCTTGCTTCTTTTCTCACATGCACCGTTTTCAATGTCAAACTACTACCAAAATACAAGCGAAAGTCAAGTAAATTAACCCCAAGGGACACAACCCTTCAGAAAAATGAGAAAGAAAACCGTCAAGTCCGTCTTGAAGCGCTGCGTCGCCAATTTGAAGCGTTGTGGCTCTTGAATCTCTTTCTTAATATGCTGCACCGCCATATCTGTGCCGCTGTAACGCTCTGCTCTTTGTCGTTTAGCATCGGGGTGCTCGGCTACATAGCGCCTACCGCCGGGTACACAGCACAGGTGCCGATGGAAAAAAAATTTCCATGTACAAAGCACCCGAACCCAAACAAATTGATCAACACAATCAGATTCCACACATAATAGCTACATGTAGTATAAATATTAATTTTATCAAATATTATACAAAATTATAAGAAATGATATGTCATCCCCTATTTTTACATAAAAATTTGTATCTATCAATCTATTTTTTCTAATTGAAACTTATATTTAATAAAACAGAAACCTTTTCGCAAAATATATAAAAGTAAACAAATCCATTTTAACTTTTATAAATAGTTCTTATATCATTCATATCTAAATTCCGCTCTTCTTCTGACTTCTCAGATTAATCAGTCTCTTTCAAAGCTCTTCCAGCTTCAGTAGAAATGCAGAACATACAGATCCTAAACTTCTTCGTTGAATTACCAAACAATGCCACAAATTTAACTCCTACTATTCTCTATAAGGTCAATTTATCCCCTCTTAAATATTTAACCTCTCTCTCTCTCTCTCTCTCTCTCTCTCTCTCTCTCTCTCTCTTCTGGTTCTCCATGTGAGATTCAAACTCCTAACCCCAGCTTTTATTCCCCTTCCACTCTATAAATACTCCCTCCACTCCACTTTCTTACCATTCATTCCCTCAATTGCTCTTCCAGTTCTCATCATTGAATAAATAATGGAGCAAAGACATCATCAGCTAGACAAACAAGGATCAAGAAATATGGCCTCTGAGTCGAAATCTACCTCCGAACCACCGCGAAATTGCCCGAGGTGCGAGTCGACCAACACCAAGTTCTGCTACTACAACAACTACAGCTCCTCACAGCCCCGCTACTTTTGTCGAGCTTGCCGCCGCTACTGGACCCAAGGTGGAGCCCTCCGCAACCTTCCCCATGGCTCTTCCGCCACCCGCCGAGTCGCCAAACAATCCAAGAGACCCTCACCCACCTCTTACTACTCTGTAGCCGTCAGCACTACTTCTGTTACACCTCTCTACCACCAAATGAACACCGGGACGGTAGAGCCGCCTCGGTGCTTCAGTGGTGGTAGATTGCCAAGGCAGTTGTCAATGGGAAGCCAGACTATCGATCCCTCGATGGTTGTCGGGGTTCGGATTCCGCCGGCGCAGCCAGAGATGGCAGGAGCGGTGAGTACGGTGGCTGGGGAAGAAGGAGATAGGATTTTGGGTAATTTGTTTGGTGGATTTGAGGATGGTTCTGGTGGTGAGGGTGCAGTTAAGAAGATGCCTTCGGCTTCTTCTGGGCCGTTTATTTGAATCAGAAAGCGCGCGGGGATTATATATGTGTGAGTGGCTGTTGAAGTTTTTTTTTTTTAATTTTTTTTTTTATTTGTAGTTTTTGTGTCTTCTGGTTTTGTGGAGATTAGGAGTCTTTGGGTGAAGAGGAAAAGATGTTAGAAGACTATAACATGATATCTTTCAAGAAAATTTCAAAATTACATCTTAGTTTTTTTTTTTCTTAGAATAATTTGTGTGTAAAGAATCGATAAAGTTGGTCTCGTGATGGTGTTGCATGCATAAATCGAGTCTTAGATTTCGTTTGAGATAATTTTTTTACAACATTCAAAGGTTTCATTTGTGACTACTTTCTTACTGCTTCTTAAAGCAGCTTTTTAGTACAATTGTTGTACTAAAAAAGTTGCTTTAAGAAGCATTACAAAAGTTGCTCCGAACGAAACCAAAAGTAATTTTTAGTATAATGATTTTATGAAAGCAACGAAAACATAATAGTAAAAAATTGTCTCAAAAGAAGCCTTAGATTTTGTGCTTTAGAAAACTATCTCATACGAAACTTTAGTTTTCATAGCTTCTGCCTTCTATGTTTATCAAAGTTTGATCATTATGATTGAAGGTAATAGAATATTTGGAAGTAAATGATGCAGATTGAGGTAATTGCAAAATAATAAAAAACTAAAAAAAAGTAATTACAGTTCAAGAGGATCAAAGAAGCCAAGTACTATTCTATTCCATTATTTATTTATTATCCAAAATTAGTAGCCTTAGTCTCCCTCCTAAACAAACATGCCTAATTGTTTTAACAATTATAAAGATTTTATGAAAGCAACGGAAAAATAATGGTAAAAATTTGTCTCAAAAGAAGCCTTAGGTTTTGTGCTTTAGAAAACTATCTCATACGAAACTTTAGTTTCCATAGCTTCTATGTTCATCAAAGTTTGATCATTATGATTGAAGGTAATAGAATATTTGGAAGTAAATGATGCAGATTGAGGTAATTGCAAAATAATAAAAAACTAAAAAAAAGTAATTACAGTTCAAGAGGATCAAAGAAGCCAAGTACTATTCTATTCCATTATTTATTTATTATCCAAAATTAGTAGCCTTAGTCTCCCTCCTAAACAAACATGCCTAATTGTTTTAACAATTATATAGCTATCAATATCTCTTTTCATCATCTGAATCGAAGAACAAATTTTGTTGTCTATAATATAAAATGTTTTTTTTTTTTTTATTACAATCCATTGAAGGAAGTATGATCCCTGTTAAACTAATTAAATTTCTTAGTGACATTGGTTTCATTTGGGATAATGTTTTTTACTGTTTTATGAAGCAACTTTTTAGAACAAAAAAAATCAATTAAAAAAAAAATACACTAAAAAACTGCTTCATAAAACAATAATAAAATTGTCCCAAATGAATCCTTAAATCTAAGTTTTATTAAGCCAAAAATTGCTCCGAAATCAGAAATAACTTTCTTCTATTAATCAAATTCAAGAAAATTATTTGAATTATAAGTAAATGAGATATCTATTTAAACATAATGCAAAGTGAAAAAAAGAAGGTGCAATACAATTATTTTCTTCCATTGCTAGAAATATGCATGCTTCTATAGCTTAGCATTTTCTTTAGGTTGGTAACATTGTGATATCCTCTATTCAAAGAAGATTTGATAACTTGGAAGAAGACAAGATCAACTGAAGCCTATAAATGCAAGGCAAGCCTTCTTCTTTAGTTGGTTCTGTCGAAATCTTTGTTCGGCTAGCTTTCTCACAGCCATTAGTTTTTTTTTTTGTTTTAGGTACTAGTGACCACATGCACTTTCCTTCTCTGCTATTACAGTACTTCAACCAATTCTTCCCTTCGCTTTTTGCTTTCATAATTGTGGCTTCTTCTTGGTACTCTGAGTTGTATATAGCACTGATAGGGAGCAATAAATAATACATGTATTCAATGCTAGAAAAGCCTGCCTTCCCTAATATGATGTGTGTAAGTTATAAGAAATTATTCTTTGTGGACTTGGAACTTAGAGGATCGTCTGGATGCTGCATATGGACTGCGTATGAATTGCATATAGATTGTGCATTTACTCCATATTTATATATATGAAAAAAATACTCTCTAAATACTCTGAACTAATGATTGGCTTAGTATTTGAGGCATATCAACAAATTAATATGCAATCTATACGTAGCCCATACGTAACATTCAGACAATCATCTACGTTCGGAGTCTGCACAGAATAATTTCCCCATAAGTTATAGAGAATATGTTGGCAAGAATTAAATATAATAGAAAAAATTGTAAGTGACACCAAGTGGTTGGATAAGGCTAGCTAATGTCAACAATGATTTTTTTTTTGGAATTTTTAAGCCAATTAAATCAAATTGACACACACATCATATATGCAAGCTACGAATCTAGCTAAGATCTCTTCGTTGGTAGTCAAAACTCTCAACAAACAGATCAAAGATACATAATAGTATTTTCATCAGTACTTGTTGCAATTCAAGTTAACAATCAGCACTGTAACGAGAGATATCTTAATAAAAATATACAAGGGATGAGAGACAATAAGCGAAAGTGTAACTAGAGAAGTTGCTTAGTGGGATAGCTAGGGTGGTATTAAGTAGATTATCTTAGTGCTAGCTTGATGATCTTTATGGAGGTGCTATTATTAATTAAGGATTGTCCCGTTGGGAGTGAGGAGTATTCTAGTGGTCCTACTTCTATGCATGAGGTTGACAAGCAACATGTAATTAACAAGCCTAATACCAAGGTCTCGAGCAACACTGATGAACTTTTTTTTTGGTTCAAATTGCATGTGAATATTATGAACAAATTAAGAGCGATTCCTCCTATCACTCTTCTTATCAAAATCTTGAGAGCTTTCCATTCCTCTTCTTTTCATATTATTTCATAGGAAATCAATAGCGATGATCCCATTTATGAAGTTGATTTGTCATCTAAAGTATTTACTAATAATGCATAGAGGAGTTATTTGGTTAGCAATAAAATAGGTGTAAGTATTTCAAATATATGAATTTTGAGAATATTGATGTTTGATTTGAAGCATTATGAACTTTTGGTGCATTTGAAATTCACTCTCTAGTTCAATTTTGATGTGATTGAAATTTCCTCATATTTAGACGAGTTTCAAATACATCACAAATTCGTCGTTATTGCCATGGCCTGTAGCTAGCTACAACCACGGCCAGCGTCAATCACCATTGTCATTATCACTCCCAAAAACAATTTTCTTATGATGAATTTAATGCTTTCTAAAAAATTAGGAAAAATTTGTTGTATATGACACTATTGAATACCTTATTGAATTTTCTAAAATATTTTAAAAATAAATAAATTCAATAACATAATAATATATTCAATGAAAATGAATTATGTTTTTTCATTTAGGTATATATATAGGTGGCTCGTTGCCAAACAGCTTTCTTATGAGGGCAGACTAGTGATCACATGCATGCATGGAGGAAGATTCCATCTACGTACTATCAAAATCATTGGAGCTTTGAGTACAGCTTACTACTGTCAAAGTTATTTTGGGAAATCGGAACGTGTATTCGGCATTTACTATAAAAAAGCTTGTAAGTTTGGAAGTTTGTATGACTTGTGCGGTGAAGAAATTATTATGTGCAGGCATCAAATACAGTTTATTGTTCGGAGATCAATCAAAATGCGTCACGTTAGTAGTACCGAGTATGATACCTAGCCGCGGTACCAAACGGTGGTGATGTAACTCATTCTAATTGGTCTCCGGACGACGTTCGGCGTCCGCAAATAATAATTTGCCCGTGTTTTGGTGGGGGCCTGCTTTGGGCCTCCGGCTTATCACTATTTTTTTTAAAGAAATTTTTTAGACTAGAAAGTAGTAAAAAAGTGTACCACACGAAGTAATAGTTATGCGAGAAAGAGTGAGAGAGAATTTTTTTTATTAATTTTCAAAAAAATTTAATTACAAACTTACACACACTTATATACATTATCTAGAATTTATGACTGTTGGGTTGAAAATGCAAGAGAGATTAAATTATTTATTGAGACTTATAAGAGTCTAATATTGTTCAATGAGCGATTTTTGATAAGGTTGCAAATTTTTTCGAATTTTATGATTATTATGCATTGCACAATTGATGTTTAAATTGTTATATTTTATAAATAAATTTATATTTTAATTAATATTATATCATTTATTTATGCAAAATTTGATGTAGTAATTTGCATCCTCTTGAATTTTTGTTCACATAAGATTCATTTATATTGATTTATTTAGATAATTGAAAAAGTATCAAAATTCTTTTTATTGGTCGATCAACATATAATTGAACAAAATTGAATATTTGTTCAATCATTCATTTGTATTTGTTAGCATTTTCATTTGTTATTTAATAAGTAACTTGTTTAGAACTCAAATGAAAGGCTCATTTAAAGATGACTTAATTACTTCTTATTTTTTGCTATTGTATCAATTTTTCAAATTTTATAGATGCACTCCAAAAATTATTTGTATTATATATATTACTACTAAAAAATTGTCTCTTAATTATATCTTACATCTTATTGTAGATTCTTTTTAATTTTTATAACCAAATATCACTTCATATAGATAATTTTATCATAATTAATTGATGGTGAACCATTAATTCTAAAATGATTTATATGGTAGCAAGCTGATTTGCCCTCATAAATATATTCTTAATTGAATAAAATACATTTTATTCATGGAGATCATGTTTTATTATGAAGCCAATTTTGATCATATCTATTATAAAATATTCATTAGATTTTTATTTATGATCTATATTAGTATTATATAGATCGATGATTGATGAGTGATCACATATATGTGAATATGTCAAATGTAATTGCACATGAATATGTTAGCATATAAATGTATTCGTTATAGATCTATAGAAGGCGGCTAGATCCTTTTCTTTGGAGTCTCACTCCAAAAAAACATTATATTCTATAGTGAAAGAGTGAATATGTTTGATAGAATGAAA